GTTTGTCTTCTCTGGAAAATTCAGCATTTGGAGTATCCCTCCAGCCTCTAGACCAGCAGCCTCTGCCTTCTCTGCCTTTGCCGATCTGTCTTCTCAGTGGAGCTAAGGAAGTCAGAGCCAAGTTCAGCAGCTCACTCCCATAATAAGTGCTCAGGCTGGGCTGCTGGCTCTCTAGACCACAGTCCCCCAACACGCATGGGGCTGTGATGTGCCTGGGGCACCTGTGATGGCCAGGATCTTGCTCTGCAGGGCCCTCTGATCTTCATCAGACAGGTCTACTGCTCCCCTCCACAAATGCCGGAACCAGCCCAGGAGGGAATATAACTCCCAAACTCCCAGCAAAATGATCACAGAGAGGAACAGCATTTTTCAACCTTTGTGTGAATTTGTGTGGGTAGGATGCTCAACAAAATAAATAATGTGGTGCAAGAAGATGAAAGGAGAGGTGAAGTTTCTTGAAATAAAGACCACAGCAGGGCGTGATGGACAATGGGAATCCTTGAGTCAGACCTAGGTTTGGAACCCGGCTGCCTTTCTTATTAGCTGTGTGACCTCGGTTGAATTACTTAGCCTCTCTGAGCTTCGATTCTCCCATCAATAAAACAATGATAATAATACCTTTCACCCAGAGTTGTCAGGATTCAACAAGATGAAATATGTAACAGGCTTCACCCAGAGTTGGTGCTCACAAATAACAGCATTCTTTCCTTCCCCTCAGACTTCGACACAGCATTAAATAGCCACAGCAGCCCTGAAAATAGATGGTTTTGCTAAACAACACAGGGTCCCAGTGTACTGTTTGTACTGCAGTCTCTTTAAGTGTCAAGTAAGGGCACTGTTGTAAAAGCTATAGACAGAATATCTTAAAACCAAGGTGGGAGAGGAGAGTGGGAATGGAGAAGCTTTATAATTTCTGACTCCTTCAGTGGGTAATATTCATGGTTCAGATGAGATTCAGAGTAACCTCCCAGGTTTCAAATGTTCTGTTGCCATGTAAGATGAGTAGGAATTGCTGATCAATTAGGTTTAAAAGCTCCTGAAATTTGCAGGGATCATTTAAATAAGTTACTCATAAATGTCCCTAAAGAGATGAGAATAACCTTCCACGTCAGCAGTACACGAGTTAAACATGTGGTTAACGATGATATAAAAGGAGGTGGTATGTGGCATATCAGTTCCTGTGAGATGGCGTTCAATAGTAATTTATGTGATATCAATAATGCGTTAGTCTAAATGAACCTTCCCCACATATAAAACATTCCTAATTATTGTTAAACCGTTTCTCTCCACTTACCATTGATCTTAAGGAAATGACTAAAATATTTGGAGAGTGCTGACGCAGCACTATTACTCTGGGTCATTATTCAGAGCAGGTGTCAATCTCTTTCACTTAATCCCAAAGAAGGAAAAAAAAGACTAAGTAGTTTTTCCTTTAATCACGTCTCTCTTTCAAAAAGGAAAAAAAAAAAAAAGGAAACACATTAAGATAAGTGTAACTTTAATAGGAATGTTAATACTCTCATACTCTTTGGGATAGGTGAAGCTTTTGATTTTCAGCC